CCCGGGAAGGCGGCGCGAAGGATCCCGAGCCTGGGCGATGGCGGCGCCCGGCGCGGTGCTAGTGATGGGAGTGAGCGGCTCCGGGAAGTAGGTTCCGGCGGGCCGGGGCGCGGGAGGCGAAGTGGGGAGGCGGCGGCCAAAGCTGCAGCCGTTCCGGACTCTCGGGGATGGGAGGACCCTGGGGAGCGCCCCTCCTTTCCCTTTGCTGATGAGGAAACTGAAACCCGGGCACCTGCTCCCTCTCCCTACTTTCCAGTCTGCTCGCCTTGGAGCGCGTGGAGAAAACTAAAGTCATGCTCTAGACTCCAGGGTCAAGAGCATCCATCTCACTGCTTCAGTATCATAAGTTGTTGGTATTTAACCCTGGTGGGTACCCCTCTACTTCTCAGGGCTTCTCAGATGGAAGGAGGCACCAAACGGGGTGGGAAAGGGCAGTCCCATGAATATCTGTGTTCTCTCCACAGATCGACTGTCGGCGCCCTGCTGGCATCCGAGGTAATCATTCTAATGCCTCCCAGTCGCGAGTCCCATCATGTTGTCTTGTTGCTTCTCTCCCTTTCCTCCACCCTTTCTTCTGGCCTGACTGGTTTGTAAACTCGGCACAGACACATGCAGCTTGTGAAACCTAATGGAGCAATTTTTTCTTCTCGGTGATTATAAATAGTGATGGATAAAAAAAAAAAGGATCTGAAGCAGCCCAGAGAGCAGGGATAATGAGGCAGCGTTACAAACCCCTGCACCTCGGTGGGGAGAGGGGTATCCTCGGGCTGGTGGGCAAGAGGGTGGTGGTGGTGTTTCTACACCAGCCCGTTTGTGTTAGTAACCCCAAGTGGCTGTCCCATGGTCCACCCTACCTGCCATATACATACTTTCACTTTGTTTTTAAAGCTGGGATGGAAATTCTACGATGCTGATGACTATCACCCAGAGGAAAATCGACAGAAGATGGGAAAAGGGATACCTCTGAGTGACCAGGTAAGCTTCATTGTTTTCACTTTCCAGCACCTATGTTCCAGCTGGGTGACGCAGGTTGAGATCCCTGCAGTGCTTGATGCAGGAGTTCCTGAGTCATGAGATAACTCGTGGACAGTGCTCTGAAAGCCACGTGCATAGCAGGCCTGCCATGTATGTTAGCTTTGGCCCTGAACTGTCTAAACTCAGAGTCAGGAGTGATGCCACCCTCTGCCCCAGCTTGGCAGGATCTTCCAAAAACCCTTTGCTGAAGGATTGTAATCTGCAGAATGTAATCCCTGAGGGAGCAGAGGCTCCCCCATGCCTCATATGTAAGGAAGTGCATCTTCTCTTCCCAGGACCTGTCAGCCGACCACCTCACCAGACCCTGGCATCCACCCCAAAGCTACAGAGATCTTTGCAAACTCAAATCTGGCTCCCTGGAGGTCTCCCACTGATCTCAGGGTCAAGACCAAACACCTAAACTCCTGCACATGCACAGTCAGGCTGGACTGACCATGCCCTATTCAGTCCCTTTGGGTGTCCCCCCCTACTGTCTCCACTGGAGCCACCCATGGCCCCTTTCAATCACTCCTACCTCCATGCTCCTTCCTGCCGGGCCTTTGAGTCTGCTGGTCCCACTGTGTGGAATACACTTCCCCTTTCTTCTGTTACCCTGCTGATGCTGCCCACCTCAGTTTCCCTGCCCCTTCCTCAGGGAAGCTCTCCCTGACTTACCAGGTAAAACCTCCTGTAATAAACTCTCATGGCACAAGATCCCTTATCATCCTTGGCCCAATTGCAATGTGGCATTTGATGGAGTGAGAATTTGATTAATATTTATCTCTGCAGCTAGATTTTACCTCCAAAAGGGCAGAGACTGGCCATTTCTATTAAGCACTGTATATCCCCAGTAAATATCAGAAAATACCTGTGGCATATTTGTAAGTGAATGAATGAATGAGTAGCACCTCATTCCTTTATGCACTTTCCTGGGAAGTCTCTCTCAAATCAGAGTCACAAACTATAGATTCATGGCGTGAATGACTGTGACTGACTGTGACTCAGGAGAGACTGTGAGGGCAGAGTGGAGGGCTGGGTCCACAGAGCAGCTGAGAGCAGGGTCCCATCCAGGCACACGTGCCAAGGGTGTGCAAAGGGGAGGTACAGAATGGAACTGGCCAAAGGGCAACACTGGTGTTTTCACTTTCGGTGATGTTGGCTCACCCCCAGTTACGTCCCACTGTTTTCTCTTTGTCCTGCCTTGAAGCACTGGAGTCATAAAACCACATGAGGTCTAATTCTAGAGCATTCTGAGGGTGCACTTTTTGTTTCAGGGAATGCAGCTTGAGTTTGCGATGGTTCAAGCCTTGAACCATCAAAACTTGAATAGGTAGGGAGAGGGAACCCTAAAAGAGATACAGATAATTAATTAAACATAATAATGATGTTTATTAAAGATAAGACACATAATATAGATAACCTGGCCCCACCACTGAGCTTGTGTGATCTTTGGCAATGGCTTAATCTCTCTGTGCCTTATTTTCCTCCTGTGAAGCAGGGATGTTGGCAGGACCTATTTCATTGGGTTCTTGGTAGGATTAAATGAGATAATATAAAAAAATGTGCAGAGACATGCCTGAAGCTTTAGTAAATATCACTTCATATTGTTGTTGCTCACATCACATCTATATATACATACATGTAACATAAACCATTTCAGTGTAGTGTGTAAAATGTGATTGTGCCAGTGTCAGTGTATTTTTCTCCTTGGTGAGTGCAAATGAAAATTAAGGAAGTAAAGCAACCCAAGTGGATGGATTTTAAAATGGCATTTAAACATCCTGCCCCTTGTTCACCAGTGAGGTTTGTTAAGTGGGCAGTATGGAAGGGGATAGGGTGGGGAGTAGAATTCAGGAGAGGAATTTACTGTGCAAAAGAAAAGGTTATCAGTTACTGGAAGAAACATAACGAGTTACTAAATATATTTAGGGGAAGCTGTACAAGTTAGCTTGAATTTAGAGAGAAGCAGAACAGGGAGAGAAAGGGGTAGAATGGCAGGTGGTTTACATTTTTCACAAGAGCACAGCAAATCTAAGAGTGAAGGGTGGGTCATAGCTTAGCTAGCACCAATGCCCTCCTGGTTGCCCTAGCAACCAGCCTCACCTTCAGGATACTGGACTGAAGATCAGTAGAGTGATGGAGGCAGAGACACAGGTTTGTCTTGGGGTAGAGAGTCTGAGGAGAGTTTGGGGACGGTTTTGTGCTCAGAAGGCTTAGATTTGAAAGGAAAGAACCTGAGTTAAATGTACCAACGGCTCCTTAAGGCTATTTCAGTTAAATTTCACTTAAATGTAAATAAACCCCAGTTCCTAGGTTGCATTGTGACATTTCAAGCGTTCAGTAACCACATGTGTCTGGTGGGTATTAACACAGATGGCACAGATAGAGAACATTTCCATCAGGGCAGAAAGCTCTGTTGGACAGCGCTGGTGTTGAAAGATATGCCACCAGGCTGAGATACAGTATTAGCATGATGGTGATAATAAAAATTACAAAGAATTTTCAAGCTGCCAGTCAGTGAGTCTCCTCTATGCGCCAGGTCCATACTGTCCTGGCGGCCCACAGTGACACGTGAACAGACTCCACCCTCAAAGTCTATCTGAAACAGGAGTTTTTGAGAATTTTTCCTGATTATAAATATAGTGCTTATCCTGTATAGAAAATTTGACCAGTGTTGAAAAATTCTTTTACAGAATACATCACTCTTGGTTTCATCTTCCAAAAATATCTGCTAACTGAATTTGGCTTTTTTACCCTCTTTTTTGGGGTACATATTATTTTTACATGCATTCTTTCCTCTGTGGGTTTACGTTCACTTCTGCACCAGATAAAACTCATCCATGGCACCTTCTGCCCCCCTCCCACTTTCTTTGCCCTCTCTTTGCCTCCCTCAGTAATGCCAAATACTCTCCTCTTCCATCTGTTCCTCCAAGCTTCAACCATTGTCCCCTTCCAGAAGACACTGCTTCCCTAGATGTTTTCATCAGATCACTGGACTCTTGGGCCAAGGAAGCTTTCTCTGTCCTCATGATGCTCTGATTTACCCCTAAGTGCCTGAGCACTAGGTTGGGGGCTGGGAGTACCCTTTCCCCGCCACATCCCTGCATGTAGGGACTATCAGAAATGAGGTGACCTGGAACATCAGATCCAGCAAGTAGAAATACTCTTTGGTTTATGTTGTTTCCTCTTCTTCTCCCTAAGACTTTGTGTTTGACTTTCCTAAGTTATCATATTGTCTGTAGTAACTGTTCACACCTACAGTTCAGTGAATCTGCTGTGATATCTCCTCCATTTTGCCCGAGTTTCTGCACTTGTGAAAAGGAGATCTTTGATCACTCCCTTTTCACAAATGTCAATGAATACAAAAATTTGGAGCTCGTGTGTCCAAGTCCTCCCTAAGACCCTGACAATAAAGTCCAAATTCCTTAGCAGGTCACTGAAGGTCTTGACCATATCCCTGATGGTGTCTCTTGACCTTCTTCACATATCAGCTCCCACACCTCCTGCTCACCAGTGCTAAGCTCCTCCCTCATCCATTTACTCAAGAGTCTTGGGAAACCAGCTTTAATGCTCCTGGTCTTGCCCTTCCACTGCTTGGTAGGCCCTGCTTCAGTTGAAATCCTCTTTATTCTTTATCCTAGAGTCTAATCAAAATTGACCTCTTCCCCTACTGTCTTATCATAGCCCGTCTTAGTATAATTCCTTGAGCCCTCCTCACTGCCCTGTGGGTAGTTTAATTGATCATCCACCATCATCGGGCTGTCACCCCTTTGAGGACAGGGACTGCAACATTCGTATTTATATCCCCAGTGCTCAATGACCAGGGTAGTCAGGCCCTGTCTTGCAGGCTCAACCCCTGATATTATCAACACATAGAACATGGGTTCATGTCTCATATGGGAACCCCAGGTTCACTAGGTTCCTACATAAAACCAAAACTGCCAGCCGATTAACTTACAGGAGAAATTTAACTGCCACATGGCTCGTAACACTCACATTGATCTGATCTCAGAAACCGACATACAATCAGGCTTCTCAGTGAACATGCAATCAGAAGAGTAGGAGAGTTAGGGCTAAGGTTTCTAAAGGTTTCTAATCCCTTTATAGGAAGAAGTTTGCTACTGAGAACATGATATTCAAAGTCCTATGACCAAAACCCCATGTCCTCTGGACAGTGTTTAAATCTGCAGTGGAGGCTCCTGCCCGGGGCTTTCACATCCGTCAAGCCTCACTGGGACAGACATGCTTCCTTTATATGTGTAAAAATATGCGGTTCAATCATAGTGATGTCTTGCTAGCCTGAGGGTCATCCTTACTCCTTTGGATGAGTTTATTCATCTCTGCCCCTCTCTATTAAGTGTTGATCTTTAATTTAAAGCCTTTAAGAACAAGCTTATTTCCTTTTCCAAGAGCTTAAGAAGGTTCCTCACTTTGGCCCCCATATGCTGTTAAGAAGACTCCTTAACTTTATGAAAGTTGACATCTAAACAAATCAATTATCAAACACACATACACACACACACAAAGTGTCATCATTTCTGCAACTTGAAGCTGGATGCCCACATCTGCATGTAAAACACTCTGTTTGCATGTAAAACACTTAGTCCCCTTGATCCTAAGTATACCACTTTACCAAGTATGTGGCCTGCACTGCCTTTCCTGCAGGCCTGAAGGTACCACATCTTTGTAGGACTGGATCCTAGCTGGGAAACAGCCCATCCTACTGACTGGTGAGTCTTCAAGTTCCAGTCACCCTACTCTGTTGCAACTTTCTGTTAGAGGAAATGTTTTAGAAAATATAGCCAGGAGGCTAAAAAAAATTTTTTTTAAAGATCACCATATAAATAACAGTGTTCTTTTTCATCCCCATTAGTTCATGAATATAGTAGAAAAGCTTGGTTATGCACAATAGGAATAGAGGAGAGAAAGGAACTTAGACAAGTCACCCAAAGAAGAACCCACCAAATCACACTGTAATCAAAATGAGAAAAATTAACAATAAAGAGAAAATATTAAAAGCAACAAGGAAAAAGCAACAAATAACATACAAAGGAACTCCCTGCTGATTTTTCAGCAGAAACTCTACAGGCCAGAAGAGAGTGAATGGCATGATACATTTAAAGTGATGAAAGGGAAAAACCTACAGCCAAGAATACTCTACCCAGCAAGGCTGTCCTTCAGATTTGATGGCGATCAAAAGCTTTACAGACAATCAAAAGCTAAAAGAATTCAGCACCACCCAACCAGCTTTACAACAACGCTAAAGGAACTTCTCTAGCTGGAAAAGAAAAGGGCACAACTAGAAACAAGAAACGTACGAAATGGAAAAGCTCACCAATAAAGGCAAACATACAGTAAAGGTAGGAAATCATCCACACACAAACTAGTAAGGAGATTAAAAGACAAAAGTAGTAAAATCATCTGTATCCACAATAAACAAGGGATACACAAAACAATTAGATGTAAAATATGATATCAAAACCAGTAATTGTGAGGAGAGCAGAGTACAAGTGCAGGGTATTTAAAATGCATTTGAAATTAAGAGATTAACAATTAAAAACAATCATGTATGTGTATATATATAATGACTGCTATATCAAAACCTCTGTTAACTACAAACCATATATATTAGATATACACACAAAAAGCAAAGAGGAATCCAAACATACCACTAAAGATAGTCATCAAATCACAAGAGAAGAAAACAAAAGAAGGAGAAAAAAGACCTACAAAAACAAATCCATAACAATTAACAAAACAGCAGTAAGAATATACTTATCGATAATTACCTTAATGTAAATGAATTAATGCTCCAATCAAGAGACAAAGACTGGCTGAAAAGATACAAAAACAAGACCCATACATATGCTGCCTGTGAGAGGTGCACCTCAGATCTAGACACACATACAGATTGAAAGTGAGAGGGTGTAAAAATATATCCCATGCAAGTGGAAATCAAAAGAAAGCTTAGACAAAATAGACTTTAAAATAAAGATTGTTGTAAGAGACAAAAAGGACACTACATAATGGTCAAGGGATCAGTCCAAGTAGATAATAATAATTGTAAATCTATATGCATCCAACTTAGGAGTACCTCAAAATATAAGGCATTGATGAAAAGAATTGGAGATGACACAAACAAATGAAAAGATATACTGTGTTCTTGGTTTGGAAGAATCAGTACTGTGAATGTGGCCATACTACCCCAAGCAATCTATAGATTCAATGCAGTCCCTATCAAATTACCAATGGCATTTTTCATAGAACTAGAACAAAATATTTTTAAAATTTGGATGGAAGCACAAAAGAGCCCAACTAGCCAAAATAATCTTGAGAAAGAAGAATGGAGCTGGTGGAATTATGCTCCCTGACTTCAGACTATACTACAATGCTACAGTAATCAAAACAGTATGGTACTGCCACAAAAACAGATAGATCAGTAGAACAGAACAGAAAGCCCAGAAATAAACCCACACAGTTAAACTCAAAATGGATTAAAGACCTAAATGTTAGACCAGATACTCTAAAACTCATACAGGAAAACACAGAACACTCTTTGACATAAATCACAGCAATACTTTTTTGGATCTGTCTCCTAGAGTACTGGAAATACAACAAGATAAACAAATGAGACTTAATTAAACTTAAAAGCTTTTGTACAGCCAAGGAAACCATAAACAAAATGAAAAGACAACCTATGGAATGGGAGAAAATATTTGCAAGTGATGAGACTGACAAGGGATTAATTTCCAAAATATACAAACAGCTCATACTGCTCAACATCAAAAAAAAAAAAACCAATTAAAACATGAGCAGAAGGCCTAAATAGACATTTCTCCAAAAAGACATCCAGATGGCCAACAGGCACATGAAAAGATGCTCAATATTGCTAATTAGTAGAGAAATGCAAATCGGAACTACAATGAGGTAGCACTTCACACCAGTCAGAATGGCCATCATCAAAAAGTCTACAAATAATAAATGCTGGACAGGGTGTGGAAAAAAAGGAACCCTCCTAGACTGTTGGTGGGAATGTAAATTGGTGCGGCCACTATGGAGAACAGTATGAAGGTTCCTTAAAAAACTAAAAATAGAGTTACCCTATGATCCTGCAATCCTACTCCTGGGCATATATCTGGAAAAGATGAAAACTCTATTTCAAAAAGAGACATGCACCCCAATGTTCACAGCAGCACTATTTACAATAGCCAAGACATAGAAGCAATGTCTAAATGTCCATCAACAGATGAATGGATAAAGAAGATGTTGTATGTCTATATAATGGAGTATTACTCAGCCATAAAAGAGAAGGAAATAATGCCATTTGCAGCAAATTGGATGGACCTAGAGATTATCATATTAAGGGAAGTAAATCAGACAAAGACTATCATATGATATCACTTACATGTGGAATCTTAAAAAGTGAGACAAATGAACTTACTTATAAAACAGAACGACTCAGACATAGAGAACAAACTTACATATACCAAAGGGAAAAGAAGGGACGGGAGAAATAAATTAGAAATCTTGGGAAATAACATATACATACCACTATATATAAAATAAACAGTAAGGACCTACTGTGTAGCACAGGGAACTCTATTCAATATCTTGTAGTAAACTATAATGGAAAAGAATCTGAAAAAGAATATATATGTGTATAACTGAATCATTTTGCTGTATACCTGAAACTTACACAACATTGTAGATCAACGATACTTCAATTTTTTTTAAAAAAGAACAATAAAAAAAGACTTAGGTAAAATTGGACACTTTCGTAGAAAAATATAAATTCCTGTGGGAAAGTAGTTTTGGATGGCTGTAATTTGATGGCACAGACAGTGCTCAGGGACACAGTCTGCTTTTTTCCCCCAAATAAAAATATAACCATGCTGATTCTAAAGCATTTGGCTTTAGAATCCAGCTTCCTGCTATCTCAAATGTTACAGTTACCAAAACTGAATCAAGAATAGAAAAGCTGCATGTAACACAATGCTCATTAAAGAAATTTAATCTGTAATCAGAGATCTCTCCTCAAAAAGTCCCCAGGCCCAGACAGTTTTTCAGATGAGTTTTAGCTCAGACTGCTGTAACGAAACACCCATAACAGGTTGACTTCAACAATAGACATTTGTTTCTCACAGTTCTGAGGGTGACAGTCCAAGATCAGGATGCCTGCATGGTCAGCTTCTTGGTGAGTGCCCTCCTCCCAGCTTTTTACTGCATCCTTACTGGGTGCCTGAGGGGAAGGGCAGCAGAGGCAGGACAGAGCGCACAATGGTTCCCCCTTATAAGCCGTCCTACTTATTTTATGAAGCTACTATAACCTTGATACCAAAATTTAATGTGAACAAGAAAAGAATGGAGGTCAGCTCTATTATATAAACGCAAAAACCCTAAATAAAATGGGAGTAGTCAGATGTTTAAGAGCATGGACTTTTAAAGATGCATCATGTTTTCTGAATATGCATCAGTGATAAAGGATGGGGACATGAGTGAGGATATGGTTGGGACAGATATAAAACCAGACTGTGAGTTTAAAATTATTGGATCTGGGTTATGAGCACCATAAAAGTTTGTTTTGTACTATTTTGTCTGTTCCTGTGTATGTTTAAAATTTCCACAATAAAAAGTTTGGTTTGTTTTTTTAATGTACTATGGCCAATCAATATTTATCCCAAGAGGATTTCTTTGTGAAACACTCTAGGGTGTCCTTTGTGAACTTCCTCTGCCTTCTCTTTGGAAAAATACAAAATTCTCATAATGCTTTTATAGGAGCTTTGTTTTGGAAGGTTTGAAAAATAGGATCGGGGCAGCTGACTTATATAAGGGCTTCTGTGAATACTTCTCCGCATTTGAGTTCAGAGGCACCTAAAGAATCATGCAGTTCAGTAAAAGATTTGTAAACTTGTCAGAAACAGGGAAAACATATTAACAATGGGGAGATGGAGATGGGGGGGTTAGTTACATAGTGGCATTTTAGGGCAATTCTTATTGTGAGAAGAGCCTCTGATGCTTGGACTAGGAAGATGCTTTTGCTTAAATGCCCAGGGACTTGACCCTTCAGCCTTGAGTATGGCCTACTTCTCAAAAACACTGAGACCTCTCTGGACCTTAACACTGAAGAACACGATGAACTATGTTCTGTACAAACAGTACCTAGAAAAGCCACTGTGTGTCTGTTTTCTTTCCAGGACAGGATTCCATGGCTCTGCACCCTGCATGACATTTTACAAAGGTAAGAGAGCATCAGGCCTTGGACAAGTCAATGAATAAAGAAAACCCATCAGAAAGTGCAGGGCAAAAAACACTCTTGAAATCACAGCCAACCGATCCCAGAGATGGAATGCGCCTCTATCAAGTAACCAACGATTTCATATCAGCCACTGACACAATCTAATGGAATCAACCTTCTAGACAAACCCATTGTTACTCGCTGGGAGTCTTGGTCAGCTGCTGGCTTCCGAGAGCCTATTTCTTCATCTGAAAATGGAACAAATACAGTTTCTACTCACAGAATGTTGAGAGGAATTAGTGAGGTGAACAATACCTAACACATATAGTAAGTGCTGAAAAAAGTAACTGATGACAGCACTGTCATAGCCACATCTTAGCCACCACTGTTACTTCCCTCCTACTTCAGGTTCTGACAACTGCGAAGATCTGGGGTCATCTGTAAGTCAACAGATAAGTGGCCACCAGGGTTGTCCAGCTCTGTAGCACACCTCCGAGCAAACCAAGTCTTCCCTACCCAACAGCGGGCCTGAGCCTTGGGAATCCTGGTTGGAACACGGAGGATAAAGAAGTTGCAGGGAATGGGTTCTAAATCTTGCTAAGATAAAGTCAAGTTTTATAAGTCTAAAACCATCAGGGCCATATATGATATTGGAGTATATTTATGATTTAAAATTCAGTTTGCTTTTTCCACACTGCACAGACATGGCTGGCAGCCCTGTCTTTGTATGGGCTTAGGGTTTTAATTAAGGTTTAGGGTTTCAGGGTTTGAAACCTCCTGCCCACCCGGGTCTCTAACATAAATAGGCTTGTCAGAGATCAAATACACTGACCTGTGATAGAAGCAGAAGTGAAGCTCCTCAGGAGAGCAGATAACAGACCTCCAGGCTCAGAATAAAAAAGCTCTCACTCATGGCCCGAGGGAAGAGCTGGAAGGCTCGGGGACATAAGTTTGTTGCTGATGACTCTCTACCCACTAGGTCCCCAGTCCACACTGGCCATAGATCCAGGCAGGCCCCTTCAGAATTCTGTTTTGAACTGAACTTTCTATTAAGTACCCACTCTAGCATTTGCCCTTCACCCCTTTACTCAGTTCCTTCCTGGCCCCGGGGACGGTACACATGGGCTTGGTGGGAGCAGGGCTCACCCGCATGTACGGTCTGGGACCACACCGGATTTCTCTTATTGGTGCCTTGTCGCTTTACCTCTACTTCTGGCTCAGGTTTTTTTCCTTAGTGCATCCCTGGAAGTTTCTCACGTCCCACTCACCTTGACCTCACAGGGACTGATGCTCCCTTTTCTCCTGCTTTCTCCAGCTCTGCACTGGTAACTTCCCCAGACTCTTCCAGCACACTGTAGAGTAGGAATGGAGAGAAGCCAGTTGTGGAATTCAAATCACTGAACACCTGAGGAAGAGTCTGAGCTGAGCTGTGTGTAGGGTGCCGGCACCTGCTGGCAGCCACGCATGTCCACAAGTGGCAGCTGAGCCACATCCTACCAAGCGGCAGTGTGTGCCGGGCACCTTGATAAACTTCCTCACCAGTTCCATGGGCAGGTACTCTGAGCAGCCCCATTTAACAGATGATAAACTGATGCTCAGGGAGGTAAAACGTTACCCAAGATGGCTCACTAGCTGAAGATCTTTACCTCAAAACCAGGACTGCCTGATACTTGGCCACTATTCGTAACGCCTTCCACTGTCAGAGAACTAGGACTTGGAGTCCTCAAACTAGACCTGACACCAATTATTTTAAATGTCTTCACTCTTTAGCATCTCCCCCTACTTCCTTCCCTGCTTTTTTTTCCTCCCCACAGAGAGGTAGCCTCTGGACAGCATGTAGTTCTAGCCTGTTCAGCTCTGAAGAAAGTATACAGAGATATCTTAATACAAGGAAAAGACGGTGCACCTCTGAAGCGTGATGAGTCCGGAAAGGAAGAAAAGACGGCTGAGGTAAAGCTCCTTGTGGTTCATCTGACTGGGTCATTTGAGGTCATCTCTGGACGCTTACTCAAAAGAAAAGGACATTTTATGCCCCCTGAGTTACTGCAGTCCCAGTTCAATACTCTGGAGCCCCCATCAGCTCCAGAAAACTTCATGCAAATCAGTGTGGACAGAAATCCTTCAGAGATGGTTGTTATAATTATGGAAACTCTAAAATGAAGTGAGAATCCTTTCTATCAGTGGTCCAAAATAGAATTAGGCACAAATCTCAATCTCCCATCCCAAACCATGTTGCAGTATCCTTGGTGATAAGTATTCTAGATTCTTCTTAAGGTGAACAAATGACAGTGTGCTGAGATACGCTCATTTGGGTATATTTTTAGGAATTTGTGGTACTCTTGTCATCATGCTCTGGCACATTCAGAGAAAAGGATAAGAAAATTTGAAAGCACAGCTTTAATTGAAATTTAAATTTGTGTGATCCAATCAAATGATCAGAGGAAATTCTGTAATTGATGCTGTAAATCATGACCTTATTTGGAACATCTCTGATCATGGCTGTACTCAAATAAATGAAACTTGACTGTCCTCAGCACCCTCTGTAGACTGGTCTTGAGCAGAGATGTGTATAAAGTTGACCATTCACTAGCAAGTCACGTTACACCACATACCTCTTAATCCTCTCTTTGGATCATTTCAAGATAAATAAAAGGCATAAATAATTCATGGTTTAAAAAAAAATTGGAGACATGGAACTTGACTGAATGAAGTGCAGGACTCACTCATTCAGTCTGCCCCCCACTCATTTATAGAAAGCCCTGTGATTACCAGTCTGGTTATCAGCCGACCTACCTCCCTGCTGTAAAAGCCATAAATAGACACTAAGCAGGCGAGCAAGGAACATGAGTTGCTATGGCCCAAACCTGAAACAAAACCTTCCAATGGGCAGCAACGTGCCGGTGGCAGCCAGTTCGGCGAGGCTGTGGGGAGGCTGGAGGTGATGGTGTGTTGCTCACACACAGCTTACCAGGCACCAGCTAGCAAAGCTGCAACACGGCCAGCAAAGGTTGGTTTGAGCCCTTCCCCCATGGGACTCCAAGAAGCTTCCTTATCCTTCTATCCTAACCAGGGCCACTGGCTGGTTCTGGCCAGAAAGTGAGTTTGGAACCAATTACCTGTTTTCTTTCACAAGGATATACTTTTTTTTGTCTCAGGAACTGCAAAAAGTATGTCTATGTAAAGAGTAAAGGGCCCTTCTGGGTGGATGGACCTTGCCTAAACAAATGGGAAGCCCTGGATCTTCCTCTCTACCAGACTATTTGGGGTACCTCCTGCCTGGTTTAGGTTTATGTGAACATTCATATTCAAGGTCTAGGTCCTAAAGTTGACCAGTCAAGATAATCTGGCTAGACGAGAGTCACCCTCAGGTGTAGAGAAAGGACTCATTCAGCTCAGTGTACTCGGTGAGTCTGTGCTAAGTGCTGTGATGGGCGTTGTGGAGAGCTCGAGGACCTGTAACACAAAGCCCTGGCTCTCAGGGAACCTACGCTGGAGTGGAAAGACAGAGCATCTTCTATCCTCTGGTACCAGCTGCAGTTCTCAGTGAAGGCAGTTCTTCACAAGAAAGAATTTTCAGATATCCTGCTAGACTTTCAAGTAGGATCAAACGAAAAAGGCTGTTTATAATTATAGGAACATTGAATCTAACTCTCTATTACATATAAATAAAAACATCTTCGCAGTTTTAATATATACTGAAATTTCCAAGACTGCAATAAAGGGAAAATGGTATCCTACTTTAGTTTTAACTTTACTAAGAGTTGTTTACTATTTCAGAAAGTCACAGTCAATTTGTCAGGAATACAACCATCTACATCCACCTGCATTTCTAATTCTTTATTCTCAGTGATCTACTGATGGGCAAAGCACCAAACTAACTCTACTGTGTTCATCTACTGTAGCCATGTCCAAGCATCACATACTGAGACCCACTGGTTTCTTACACGTCACTTTCCCTTTTTCCTCCCTTCAGAGTTGAAGTATCATATTATTTGCTTAGGTAAGTTTTATTAGGAATTAATCTCACTTCAAGATGACAAAGGGGGCATGAGACAATAGTTATTTAAAAAAAAAAAAGATGCTGGTGGGGCTGAGAACCATGGCTCTGATCTTCCCAAGAATGGCCACAGGGAGGGAGGCTGCAGTGTGGGCCAGTACTGCCCTCTTGTGGCCCTGGGGGACATACAAGCACAAACTGCTCTCCCACCCTTAAGAACCCTATCTAGTTGCCAAGGGCCAAATCTCTGGGTCAGATGCAGTGGAATGCTGCTCCCCACCCAGCCCTGACCACACCCCTGCCCAGCCTCTATGACCTGGGAAGAAGGGGCAAGTAAGAAATGTTTGCAGTGGTTCAAAAATAGATGCCAACCAAAGATTTCCTCAGTCCTGCAAATACCACGTAACACACCCTCTGGTAGGACTCCCCACCACCAGAAAAGACGTTTGGCTTAAACATTCTCCTCTTCTATTAAATGGGGCCACCGCCTGCCTCATAAAGTTAAGGGAACTGAGATAACATGCAAAGTGCTGAGACTGAAACACAACATACTAACTGTTCAACAAATGTTAGCTCTTGTATTACTTGTCATCCCCTGGCATCTGAGGCCAGAGGCTGAAACTTCTGTGTGGGAACTTAGGAACCCCTTCTGAGTGAGTCTTCAGTCTTTGGGCTCTAATAGGCCTCCTCCCTGCTTCCCAGCCCTTGGCCAGGTCAAATCAGGCAGAGTCTGAGATGATGTCCTTGAAGCCCAGGGTGACTGGACAACCTGCTCAACAGCAGGATCTGGAATCAGGACCCCGAAAATGCTGGGCTCTCGGTGCAGCACTGGGTCACGTACAAGGTACCTGTCACCACATGCCGTCAGAGGTCCAGTACTCGTGTCCTGTGCTTCACTAGAGACTGCTCTGATGAGCAGACTTTTCAGTGGGTAGGAGTGCAAGAAGGGAGAAATTAAAATAGGCTGACTTAAAGATACCATCAAGTAGAAATTTTAATTTTCTGAAACTGTAATATGCAGGTTTATTCTCCATTCACTGAGTAATAAATCTGTATATTTAAAATGATTGAGATTGGAATATTAACTATTATGGGCATTAATGAATGCCCAATAATTACCAAGGAAATATTTGATTGATTAGATGTCAGGCCCACAAGCTGGGTTGGGCATCAATGTTTCAACCCCTACAGAATCTCATGTGAAATCTAGCCTGGAGCTGATTTCCAAGTAATCTTGAATCTCTCCAGTGGAGCTTTCCCCCCAGCAAGCAATCTTAGATGCTGTGGGAACTTTAATTTCACTTTGTGGATGAAGGTTGAAAAGTCATGGGCCATTGCTCAATAGGACCCTAGACCTCATCACTTGTGAAAGGAGGAGTCGGTCAATGTAGCAAACTTCACTGTTGTCTTACTGGAAAACAATGCCACAGCCACCCCAACCTTCAGCAGCCACCACCCTGACCAGTCAGCAGCAGCAAACATCAAGGCAAGACTCTCTACCAGCAAAACGATTACAACTCACTGAAGCTCAGATGGCTAGCATTTTTCAGCAGTAAGTATTTTAATTAAGGTATGCACATTGTGTTTTAGACATAATGCTATTGCATACTTAATAGATTACAGTATAGTGTAAGCATAACTTTTATATGCACTGGGAAACCAAAAAATTCATAGGACTCAATTTATTGCAACATTAGCTTTATTAAGGTGCTCTGGAACTGAACCCACACAATCTCCGCGGTACGCCTGTATTATATAATTTCATTTATATGATCCAGAATAGGTAAATCCATAGGAGACAGAAAGCAGATTAGTGGTTGCCAGGAGCTGGGGTAATAAGGGGAGGAATGGTGACTGCTTAATGGCTACGAGGTTCCCTCTTGGGATGACAAAAAGTTCTGGATGATTGTGATGGTAACACAATACTGAATGAATGTACTTAAACAACACTGAACTACGTATTTTTAAATGGTTACAACAGTAAATTTTGTTATATCTGTATTACCACATTTTTCAACAAAAATGAAAATCAAAGGCCTTCTCTTCTCCCTCACAAGAGCCGAGCCTTTCTCACTAATCTTATTACCAAATGCTAATAAGACAGCCGACTAGAATGCATGCTTCCTTTGGACAGACTGTTTCGCCAAAGGTGGGTGCTCGCTCAGGTGTACCCTGTTCCTTCTACAGCATTCAATAAGCAGTTGAGTCCCTAGTTCTCCCTTGAGAGAGAGTGAACACTGGAGAACAAAAATGTGCTCCTCCAACATTTTTCCCCTTCAGGGATCACAGTGTGTGTGGTAGATTAAGACAACCACAAATTCTATGACATCGTACCCAGCAAGCAGCTGGGCCTATGACCCTAAAATCTGGGCAAGCTAAGACTGCATGACCATCAGAATACGGGACAAATGGCACTGGGGTAGTTGAGGGGCCAGACTTCAAAAAACTGACAAGCTTTCCTTTTTCTTGAAATATTTGCTCTTGAAACCTATCAACCATGCTGTGAGGAAGAGAAAGCAGCCCTGCAGAGGCCCACGTGGACAGGAACTGAGACCCCGACTGCACTCCTAGATGAAAACACGTAGCAGTTAAACAGCTACGTGAGCAAGCCCTCTTGAAAGCCAGATCTCCAGACCCAGTCAGTTTGCTCCAGCAGTATTCACCAATCCTCGCCAAACTGCTCATTCATGAATAAAATTAATGGCTGGTTTTGCTCTAAGCCACTAAGCTGTGGAGTAGTTTGTTATGAAGGAGCATTAGATAACCACAACACAGTGGAAATTCCCTTCCCTCTGTGGAAAGGAGAGGAAAATGGGTCTGAATAGCTTTTTAAAAAAAATCTAGCTTGAATACACAGCAATTACTATGTATCCCATTGAAGAATTAGGGCCCACATTTAGCTTTGGTCTTCCAGTGGAAACTATACTGGGAGCTCCTGTGTATGCCTAGTTCTGTTCTAAGCATAGTGTGGTAAGCAAGACAGCCTGGGTTGTGGACCTGGGACAACTTATGTTATAATTAGGGAGCCTGAAGCACAAATGTTAACGTGTGTAAACTGGAATTACAGTCTGAGGATGTGCTTCATCACCATCCCAGCTCTGGAAAAAATCTCAACCTCATTCTATTCAATTTCACTGAAGCAATGATGTTGAGAGTGGGGTGCTTTCCCTCTATTTCTGAAAGGGTTGACCACAAAAAGTAGTTCAGATGGACTGGGAAAGTACCACTGCTACTGACAAGGAAAAGCAGCTCTAGCTGAGGAAAACGATGGCTTGACAGACAAGAAAACCCTCTCCTTCACACTTTAGTCAGTGTAACAAACATGTCTGCCTGCTTGTCTAGATCTATCTATCAAATCTATTCTGGGGAGTAAAGCTAGTGGTAACTTCTTTCTCTTTGTAGTTTTTGTGAGAAAACAATTACCCGATACTCTTCTCCTAAGTCAAGTCCTCCTCCACACACACAAACACACATGCTGCAGAGCTTCCCATCTCAGAATACAAAAAGCAGACTTCCTCGACACCACCGCCACTCCCCTCACCAGTTACTGCCCCCATGTCTCTGATTCTCTTTACTTCAAAACTCCGTATGTGCTAGTATTTTCTAAGTCCACTCTAACCAGAATTTTGCCGTCATCACCCTTTAAAACCTCTATCTATCGTAATCATAGAGGTCCTTCCCTTTACTAAATCCAAAGGTTAATACTCGATCCATGATGAGTACTTGAAGTAACAGCACTTAACAGTTCGTTCACCATCTTTCTTGTACAGAAAAAGTTTCTCCACTTGCTTTCAGAGTTCCTGTCTGTTCATGCCCTTTGCTGGTTTTCTCTCAATCTCTCTGAACTGGAAGCTAAGAGTGAAACAGGGCTCAGTCTTCCCCAAGCGTGTTTACCAACACTCTAAAATTCATCCAATCAGGATTTCTCAACCTTGGCACTATTAACACCTTTGGACCAGATAAGCCTTTGTTGTGGAAGGCTGCGCCATGCATCTGAGAATGTTAGCAACATCCTTGGCCTCTACTCACTAGATGTCAACAGCAGCCTCGCCAGATGTTGAAAGGGTGTCTCCAAACCTTGCCAAAAGCCCCCTGGGGGGGGGGGTAAAATCACTTCTATCAAGAACGACTGATTTAGTTCCTTGGCTTTAAATACTACCTATATATATTGGCAGCTGTACAACCTGTCTGTAGCCTGAAACTCTCCTCCAACTGCCTTCTCATTATCCCCAATTATGTACCTAATCAAGTACATTTCACTAAACAGATCAAAACTAGACTTCTGATGAACACTTCTCCCTGGAAGTCTCTACCTTGCTAACTCTGCGTGACAACTCTCTTGCTCTTACCCTCACGCTTTTATCCATCAGTAAAACCTACTGGCTTGGCCTTCCAAATTACCCTAAATCTTTCCACTTCTTACCACCTCCACTGCTATCAATCCAACCCAAGCTGGTATGATCTCTCATTGAAATTATTACCTCCCAACAGTCTCTCTGCTTCCAATCTGTCCCCTTAGTCCAGTGGCTCTCAATTGAGAACCTGTTAGAAATGCAAGTTCTCTGCAATCCTGGGACTAGTAAATCATAAACACCGGGTATGGGACACAAAAACTGGGGTATCAAGTCCTCCACATCAAACACCTGGAGCACTCCCGGTCCCCATCTCTCCGGTCATAGTCCCTACACGACTTTCTCCCAAGCTCACCTTGCCCATCACATTAAACTCCCTGTGTTCTACAAACAAGTAAGAACATTCATATTACAGGGCATTCTAATTAGCTGTCCTTCTTCCTGAAAAGCTACTCACCCTCCAAGATATTCAAGCCTCTATTTAAATGTCACCTTCTCAAAGAGGCATTTTCTGACTACCTTATATAAAATACAAGTGGAGGGATAAATTAGGAGTTTGGGATTTGCAGATACAAATTACTATATGTAAAATAGATAACCAACAAGGTCCTACTGTATAGCACAGGGAACTATATTCAATATTCAGTATCTTGCAGTAACTTGAAATGAAAAAGAATATTATATATATAATATACATATGTGTAACTGAATCACTATGCTGTACACCA